ATAAAACACACATTTGGTCACACACAAACACACACCCACACACCCTTGGCTTCACAAACCCCCTATATATATACAAACACATAAGACACACACACATTGGGATACATATATATACAGGACATTTGTTCAACTTCTGTATACATATACATACTCTACACATACATATACATACATATACAAAATACATACATATAAAAAAATATACACATACACACACATACACACACACACACACATATATATATATATATACACACATATATACATACACACATATATACATATATATATACACATATATACATACACACACACACACATATATACATACACACATATATACACATACACACATACACACATACATACATACATACATACACATATATACAATACACACATATATACATACACACATATATACATACACACATACAGTGGGGATCGAAAGTTTGGGCACCCCAGCTAAAAATTTGTATTAATGTGCATAAAGAAGCCAAGGAAAGATGGAAAAATCTCCAAAAGGCATCAAATTACAGATTAGACATTCTTATAATATGTCAACAAAAGTTAGATTTTATTTCCATCATTTACACTTCATTTACACTTTCAAAATAACAGAAAACAAAAAAATGGCATCTGCAAAAGTTTGGGCATCCTGCAGAATTTATAGCATGTACTGCCCCCTTTGCAAAGCCGAGACCTGCCAGTGTCATGGATCGTTCTCAATCATTGTCTGGGAAGACCAGGTGATGTCAATCTCAAAGGTTTTAAATGCCCAGACTCATCTGACCTTGCCCCAACAATCAGCACCATGGGTTCTTCTAAGCAGTTGTCTAGAAAACTGAAACTGAAAATAGTTGACGCTCACAAAGCTGGAGAAGGCTATAAGAAGATAGCAAAGCGTTTTCAGATGTCAATATCCTCTGTTCGGAATGTAATTAAGAAATGGCAGTCATCAGGAACAGTGGAAGTTAAAGCAAGATCTGGAAGACCAAGAAAAATATCAGACAGAACAGCTCGCAGGATTGTGAGAAAAACAATTCAAAACCCACGTTTGACTGCACGATCCCTCCAGAAAGATCTGGCAGACACTGGAGTTGTGGTACACTATTCCACTATAAAGAGATACTTGTACAAATATGGTCTTCATGGAAGAGTCATCAGAAGAAAACCTCTTCTACGTCCTCACCACAAAAAATCATCGTTTGAACTTTGCAAAAGAACATATAGACAAGCCTGATGCATTTTGGAAACAAGTTCTGTGGACCGATGAGGTTAAAATTGAACTTTTTGGCCGGAATGAGCAAAGGTACGTTTGGAGAAGAAGGGGCAGAGAATTTAATGAAAAGAACCTCTGTCCAACTGTTAAGCATGGGGTTGGATCAATCATGCTTGGGGTTGTGTTGCAGCCAGTGGCACAGGGAACATCTCACGAGTAGAAGGAAAAATGGATTCAATAAAATTTCAGCAAATTTTGGATGGTAACTTGATGCCATCTGTGAAAAAGCTGAAGTTAAAGAGAGGATGGCTTCTACAAATGGATAATGTCCTAAACACACCTCAAAATCCACGGGGGATTACATCAAGAGGCGTAAACTGAAAGTTTTGCCATGGCCTTCACAATCTCCTGGCCTCAACATAATTGAAAATCTATGGATAGACCTTAAAAGAGCAGTGCGTGACAGACAGCCCAGAAATCTCAAAGAACTGGAAGACTTTTGTAAGGAAGAATGGGCAAAGATACCGCAAACAAGAATTGAAAGACTCTTGGCTGGCTACAAAAAGCGTTTACAAGCTGTGATACTTGCCAAAGGGGGCAGTACAAGATATTAACTCTGCAGGGTGCCCAAACTTTTGCAGACACCATTTTTTTGTTTTCTGTTATTTTAAAAGTGTAAATGATGGAAATAAAATCTAACTTTTGTTGACATATTATAAGAATGTCTAATCTGTAATTTGATGCCTTTTGGAGATTTTTCCATCTTTCCTTGGCTTCTTTATGCACATTAATACAAATTTTTAGCTGGGGTGCCCAAACTTTCGATCCCCACTGTATATATATATATTTGTTTATGCTACATCTTTTTCTGTAAATATTTTTATTGCACCATTTTGACCTTTTTAGTAATAAATCCTATTATCTGAAAAGTGTTGAACGGTTTCTAAAGCTCTTTAATGCAAAGTGAGAATCCCTGTCTCTGAAGAGTGCTACTGTGTGTTTTTAAACTTCTGCATACATCTGCCTGCGGTGACAGAGTGTATACAGACGCTTATTCAAACATCATAGTGTTACTGCTAAAATTGGAGAGTTTCCTCCTACTCTATACAAAAAGGTGGTGGTGGCAGTGTGAAGGGTTAATTGCGTAATTAACCTGACCCAGTAACAATCGCTCTCAGGCTGCGGCACATAGGTTGTGGTCCAGTGAGCTGGAAAATCTTTGTGCGGGTTGCAGCTGAGTGTGGCATTGTACGCAGGTGACAGTGCAGTTTTAGATTGGCTAGTCCTTTGGTCACAAGTTGGTGAGAAGTGCTAGGGGTCTGATGCTGCATCCGTCACATAGGTCTCTACCTCTGTCTCTACATCAGCCTCTGCGACAGGAGAACAGTTGGTGCGGAGCATTTGTCAATCTTTAAAGTGTGAGAGCACTCATTCCTATGATGCTGTGGATGTGCCCAACATACGGTGCGTCTCAGATCCTATTATGGGCCACAAGTATGGTATTTAATCTAAGTACCAATTTGGAAAGGTGCAGTGTATTTAAAACTACTGGAACCCCTTGACTGTGTGGTACATTTTATTACAAAGGTGAACTTAGCTTTTAACTTTTTTCCTTTTTTTGCCCAGAGATCAACTTTAAGATACTTACAGTGACTTATTGTCTTTTAAACCTCACGCTCATTATTAGCGGGGGTTGACTTTCTAAAAATGTATTTATCAAGGACCTTGGAGTTCAGGAAACAGACTAAACTGTAATATAGAAAATAGGTTATTGAAATAATTGAACAGGCTTCTAAAGCATTTGCAAAAGAGGTGCCAGCTACACAATATAAAGCTATAGTTCTAGGTGTTCTTTGTTTTCTTTCTTGGATCAACACATTTACGGTAAATGTAGAATTGAAGGAGCTGCATATTTGTTTCAGAATAAGTCTTATTTGTAGAAAAAGAACAAAGAGAAATGTGCCATTGCTTACAGCCTTTGTATATTCACCAAGTGCACAGAGGGTACACTCCTGGGGCTGGGAGCCTGACTAAAGGCTTGAAGTGCTACCGCTACTGAGCGAAAGAGGAATCTATGTGTTATTCTTGTTACGGGGGCTTCCAGTGGTAGCCACTGGTGTTCACACCACACGTACACATTACTGGGAGCTATAATCTATTTAGCAGAAGATAAAACCACAGCTCATGTTCCTGTTGTGATGTCATTTCACATCCAGGTCTTACTAGCATACACACCTGTTTGGGGGTAGAAGTTGCAACGTATAAGGCTAGTTGTCTTGCTTAAAGTGTTACTAAACCCACAACAGTAAAATCAGTCTGTATATGCAGTAAAGCATGCTTGTTATACTCACTGTGCAACCTAAAAGGGTTAATCCTTTGCATTTGTAAAAAGGCTATTTGATCCTGACTTCTCTGCCCCTCCTCTTGTTCAAATGTCCACGCTGATAAGACGGACTGAACCTGTGGCCCTTCTGCACTTGCTCAGTTTAGTGTGTATTGCTAGAGAGATTGTTTTTTTTTTCTTGGGAGAGTACATGTGATCAGCACAGGGCCAATCAGCACTCCTCCTACAAGCTTTAACCAGTGCTCAGCTGAAGTCACAAGACTGCTCTAACTGCTAATAAGAAAAAGGTATTTAGCAGATTATATTTACTAAAATAATAGCATTTCTATATTCTGCGTACTGTGGAAGACCAGATACAGTGAATACAGGGTCCTGGGTTTAGTAACACTTTAAAGTGTAAGTAACAATTAACTTATCTTATTTGCTCCCTTTGGTCAATTTGTTATGCCAATGAAAATGTTTTGTTGTGTCATGAGTGTAAAAAAAAAAAAAAAAATAAAAATCAGGGTTGTCTTGTGTCCTGAGCTCTTTACATGTGTCGTCGTTCTAGAGTCTATTTAGCCATCCAGGTTCTTATCATAGGACAAATCAATTAGTGTACATACTTTGATACATGAAGACAGTGGGAGAGGTTGAGTAGTTTGGTGAAAAAAAAAAAAAAAAAACAGGGCAGAGCTGATACCACTGTACAGAATTGCTGTGAGTGCTGTCATTCCACAATAGTCAATTGGTCTACTAGAAGTGCAGACAGCTCTTAATTACCTATATTTTCTGTACTTACAGAGTCTTTCAAATGATAAAGCATATATAAATGTGCATGTGCTGCAAAGAAGTGCTTCGTGTTTTTTTTTTCTTTATTTTGTTTTGCTGTGCTTATCTGCAGTAAAGCCTGTAGTTAAGTCATCAGGATAGATGTGCTGTCAGCTAGGGCAGTGTAAATCTCAGGACTGCACGGACAGTAACATGGGGCTTTTGGCAGATAAAATACATATTTGAGAGCAGTTCTAACTGTGCATGTAACTTTTTTGCTTGAACCTTAAATTTAAAAATAATGGATTATGGCACCTTCAGTCAGCTGCAAATTAGTTTGAATTTACAGCATTATTAGAATCAATCTTTCTGGTTAACTATGGCAAAGTAAGTCTTCTGTTACCAATGCTTGAGGAGCAAGCAAATTAAAATAAAATGTAAACGTTTTATAAACAGGTCAGAATACACTTGCAGATGTGTATACTGTAAAGCATTTGCATTTCTCTAGCTTCTTATGTTGCCTGCAATTGCTTTATTAAAATATCCAACAATGTCACATCCCTGCAGATCACTTGATTATACCAGCTATGTTAACCAGGTACATCTAAGCGATATCCAACACTTTGCTATCCAGTCATACAAGGTGCCCTACAATGTATTCTAACAGTTCTATTTTGGCAGTACCTGGAAGCAATTTTTCGGAAGTAGTCATAAGCGTTGTCCAAGTTAGGATTCAGGTTCATCAGAATGTCATCAAAATATTCCTCATAGCGCTTATTCAAGTCATCTCCAATCAATGCTAGCTGATATCCCACTTTGTCTAAATTGCTGTAGAAAGAGAGAATGGTTATTTCTGTGTTTTTAAAGTTTTTCTCCTTACATTTTACTTTGTAAGACAAAAATAGCCAAGTTATTCAGACCCAAGGGTAAAATATAAGAGCATTGCATTTTCAGGAAAGGCAGTTTAGAGCCTTCTAAACACTCAAATCCCTGAATTTTTTTGGAGCGGATTGGTTAAAACTGCTGGAAAGAAAATGGAGAACATGGAGTTGCTGCCAATAGCCACCAATTAGGTTTCCCCTTTAATTTTATGAAAAAAAAAGTAAAAAAAAACAAACATTCTCATAACTTTATTTTGTACTGATTGTTCTTTTAAATAAATTGACCCTTAGTATTTATCCAAATTAGAGTGATATACATTGCTGTGCGGCCAAAAGCCTCCTGACCTGTAGCACTATGTAACCGCCCAGGGCACCATTACAAGGTTATATTTAGTCTTTGGCATTAATGAACTTACTCATTTCAGACTCTATCTGGATTTGCTTTATTTTCTAAGGCACATTTGCCCTTCCTTGTTATCTTTTAAAGGCTTCTGTATCCAAAACCAATACTGCAGTAATAGGTGGTCACAGTAGGCTGAATTATGCAACACTTTCTTATATCTGAGACTCCAGACTTCCTCTAAAGGTAACCTTTTCTTCACCCAAAATAAAAGGGTCACATAAAGCAGAATTAAGGTCTGCTATACTCAACCCTCCTCCAGGGATGTAACATCCAAGAGTCCCTTTTCCACCATTGAAACTTTCACATGGTCTTCTTCCAGGTTCATCATCTTCAGTTAACCTAATTGGCCAGCCTGGGATGATGTAAACTCTGTGCATGCCAAGGAAGTTAATTCATCCCAGCACCAATGCATGCTATGATAGTATGCGAAGCTGTAAAAGCATGGTTCAGTGTACAATCTTTGGAGACTTGCTAGTAAGAAGAGGTTATTGTAGAAGAGACATACAGAGGGTTGATTTAGTAAAACTGGAGAATACAAAATATGGTGCAGTTGTGCACAGAAACCAATCAGCTTCAATTTTTTTTTTCAAAGATTAATTGAACAAGCTGAAGTTAGAAGCCGATTGGCTACCATGAACAGCTGCTCCAGAGTGTGCACTCTACAGTTTTAGTCAATCAATCCCAGGTCTCTTCTGCAATAAAATAATTCCTGCTAGGAACATTTTTATGCTAAGGTTCCACTTTAAGTCTTCACTTGTGGCATATGCTCATCTTTCCTTGCGTTGCTCATTTTGGCCAGTGGTACTACAAAAAGAAAGTCCTGTTTAATCTCCATACTGACTTGTCAGAGCCTACAAAGGAATATGGTATCTTCCCAAACCATTTGTGACATCACAGGGCCAATCATGGGAGATGGGGAGTGAGCCACAAACTCACCCTTAACCACAAGTGTCAGGTATCGAACTTTTTGCAGTGAGCAAAGGAAAGATGGGTATATGCTGCAGGGAAGGAGAGGAGTTTAGTTATCATTCTGCTTGCCCTGCATTAAGTAGTGTATGCCATGATCCCTCCCACAAAACCATAATAATGGTATCACTCTCTTACACCCAGACTTCATAACTATTTGTATGTAATTACAGTATATATCATAATAAATCCATCTGAAGAAAATATCATCATTTGGCCTTGTAATTTTTTTAGCCATAGCACAGAGCTGGGACTTCTGATGGGAGTCTCTTTGTAAGGGAATTCCTGTACGGCGACTGCCGCATAGATAACAACATCGTGCATAGAAATAAGCACGGGCACATTGCTAATATAAATGAGCATAGGCTCAAGCATGCGCGCAAGAATGCGCACACACGCAGGAGCATGCCTACAGTTTATGGCGCCTACAAATATAAAATTTTATTTATTTATTTTTTTTCACTGTGATGATGCACTTCATTTGAGCATTTACAGCACTGGGATTGTGGGTGCAGTCACCAGTAGGAAGATGTTTTTCTCCATCTGGATCTTCTGAAGAGTTCTTTTCTTTTTTCTTCTGTGGATAGCATTCCGGATCTGATGTCACCCGGCTCCTCCCCACACGTATTGTCACGCACCACATGACTTCATCAGGGATCCCGAGTGATGTCAGAGCCGGAATGCCGTTCAGTTTAGTAGGATATTGCTGTTCGGTTATTGTTTGTTTTACACTGCGTTTTTATCATGGTTACCATGTGAGTGCATATATTTTTAATAAACTTTATGCAGTTTTAAGAAGCATGCTGCACTATGGTTATCTTTATGGTTGTTGAGTTCCACCCACAGAGCCAGCTATACTGATAACAGGTGCTTTGGGAGGATCAGCGTGACATAGAAGAGGAGGATTACCTACAGAGGAGAAAGCCATGTGTTATTCCCACTAGAAGGGGAGATACCCGTTTGACATGTGAGGGTCCACCATATATATATATATATATATTCACTTCATTTGAGGATTTACAGCACTGGGATTGTGGGTGCAGTCACCAGTAGGAAGATGTATTTCTCCATCTGGATCTTCTGAAGATTTTTTTTCTTTTTTTTCTGCTGTGTGGACCTATACACATTGGGACTGTTTTTTATTATTATTTGTTACACATTGTTATGTTACATATATACATTTTTGGAGCGACGCAACACTTTTTCATTTACTTATTTATTGTTGCTTTATGGGTTTGCAGCAGCTTGACACATTTTGTGTTTTTGTTATAAGTTTATTTTTTGTTCTATACCTACAGTTGGCAGCGCACAATTTTTCTATATATTGTTTTTTGCCCCCTGACTATGCTTCTGGCTCCAGTTCGGCTCTACAGACCTTCTGAGTGCTTGCCCTGGCTGTCGATCATATCCTCTCCAGTTGTCACGGTGTATTCCAGCCTCAAGCTTGTTGGAGGTTCCGGCAAGTCACGCACCCAGATCTTGCAGTTCTGGTGGAGTGCTCCTTTAAGCTCGTTTGGTTGTTCCTGCATCTCCTCCTGATAGGATGCCCTGCCTGATCTACCAAGTTTACACCTCCAGCCGCAAGTTCTGCAATCAACATCTGCAGGCACTCATGTTCAGGGGCAGACTGACAACTCATGGGGCCCCCGGGCAATAGGGGATCATGGGGCCAGTGTCCTTGCCCAAACTCAAAAAAAACCTATGAAAAAGGTGCCAGGGGCATCTCATGGGGCCCCCTACTGACCCCAGGCCCTCGGGCAGTGCCCAAGTTTCCAAATGGTCAGTCCGCCCCTGCTCATGTTTCTCCTGTCCCTCGGCACCATCTGTTCCACCTTCGGTGGGGCCTGGGCAGGAGATACAAAGAGAGGCTGACCTCATCTGTTCAGACTTCTACCAGGTACGGGACACTCCAGGAGATACAAGAGTCCTGCATTACATGCAAAACAACACAAACCCATTTTTGGCTGGAGTTGGCCCTTAAAGTGTGTCTCACTTAAGTTAAAAATCTTTCAACTGAGGTACTGATGTGAATTCTGTGGGTACTTGTTACACAGTGAGAAGGGAATGGACAGAATATGTGAGTCTGAGGTTTACCAGCATGCTGACCACTAATATGAGAAAATAAAACCTTTTTGTCTAGGCACACAAAGCAACATGAAAATATGTACACAAACAAACTGCAAAATCACAAGCTTATGAGAATAACCACACTCCTGACATTCGTAGTTAAAAGATTAACTGGGCCATATACTTTCAGTGATGTAGCAAATATACAATAGTCTTATTGTTGCTTTTGAATTTGTGGTACTTTAGAGCACTTTTTACACAAAACCTACATGAAGGTGCATACAAGCAAAATAGTATAAAAATAAAGAGATTGGAAAATACAGAGAAATTATCGAATACCTACCCAGGGATGTAAGAACAATCTGGCATGGGGTCTAGCACAAATGGTCCCAATCAAGAGCAATGTACAAGGGCAAGAGTGCACATCCAGCACTGGTGTTGATGCCACTTAGCCTATTTAAACCCAGAACAGCTATTCCTGTGACCTGCAACCTGACCCTGTGATTTTGATTTGTTATCGACCCACCTGCCTCCTAACCGGCTTCTTGATCTCTGCCTTCTGTTGATGATCATGGCTCCTGACCTCACTTGGTAACTGCTGTTTTTGTACCTGCTACTGTCTGCCTGATCCTGACTCCAGCTATCCTAATTCCTGCTTCCAGCTGTACCCAGCTTATGTATGTATCATCACCTGGCCCTGTCTTCCTACACTCTGCTTACAGTGGGTTTCAGCACATTTTGAATCTGCAGTGCTTCACTTTCAGCACGTATGTCCTCACACTCCCTGTTATCTCCAGGGGTGCTGAACACCATGTGCATGAATCCCCTCACCAACACAGTCTTCACCTAGTACATGATAGATTCTAAGAATACAAATCAGTGTTGAATTGTATACCTTACCTACAGTATACTGTATATGAAGTTCCAAATATAGATGACACTACTTCCAGCAAGCTGTCCAATAAAATGTGAGAGGACAATTATAGGTTACAAATCTGTCATTATGATTAGTGTTTTTGGCACTTGTTTATTTATGCTTAGAGACTGAACATGAATATTGTAAATAATATTAGCACAAAGGGACCTAAATTATTAATAACTTTCCCATATCACAAAACTCCAATATTTATCCAATCTGTTGGATGGGGTCAGCTCCAGGATAAAAAAAAATGGGACTCTACAGGTCATGTTTTGAAAAAAAAATAAAAATTCAGGGGTACATGAGAATGGCAGAGTAATGGATGTGCTTTAACCACGCTGCACTACTCAGGCCTACAAACTGGCTTTTCTCTGCTGCTTAATCAGATCACAATGTTACTAGTCCCCACTACTGCTGATGATGGCAACCCAAACTAAAATCAAAGGGAAAAACCCAGCTTGAGCAACTTGGTTGGAAAGACCCCACGCAAAATAGAGCTGTGTAATGAGGCAGAAGATCTACATAAGGCCTCTTAACATTCACACTACTTTCCCACCTGAAGATGGAGTTTACTAGTTCTGTGCCTTTTTGTCCTTTTCAAAATCTCTCCTCTCCGTTCCTCTCAGGAAGATATGCATTGCACTACTGGAGCTGGCATTGGGATGCCATAAAACCTCCTTGCAATGTCCTGAGCACTTTCTTTAGGGGCATTGCTTACCTACTGGACTTGTTTCTTTTTAATTTATACATTTTCGGCTTAATAGAGAACACAGGACCAACACCACAGAGAGACATAATCTGTGCCACTCAATTTGAATATATTAAAAAAAAAAAAAAGATTTTACAGCAAGTACAAACAAAAATCTTATTTTCTATTTTCGCTCAGTAAGAGACAAGGAATTCTGTTACAGTTCGGACATACTGTTAGTCCATCTGAATGTGGGGTGACTAACATAAAATAAAGTTTATAACTATTGCATTTCAGGAGGTATGTGAAGGAAACAATCAATCCTAAGTCAATCAGAGTGGCTGCCACAACCATGGGGAGGACAGAAGATCAATCTAATGTTTCAGAGCAGAAAAAAAAAAAAAAAAAAAAAAAAAAAAAACACACAAATAGAACTCCTGGCTGAAGAAAAACAATGGGCCCTTGCCAGTGAGACTGAAGTGCCAAAACCGCAATACACCAAAAACAAAAAACAGGTGGAATAAAAGCTTAGATATCATAATTCCACAGCAAAAAGACCAGTTGGTCAATAACGATGGAAAGAAGGCATAAGCCTTGCACTCTTAACGTACAAAACTGGGTAATAAGTTATATGATGAAGAAAGGACTGTGCAACCAAGTAACCAGTTTTGCAATAGGATTGTAAAGCTGTATCATCCCAATGAAAAGACAAAAGGAAAACATACCAAGCCTTGAGGGATCTCAAGCAAACCAGTCCTGAAGCCATTCTGTAGGGAAATTGGTACAGGCCGAACTGATGAAAGGGCTCTCCCTTACACCTCCTGTCCTGTTTGTCCCCCGTGATTGATAACAAGGAAGAACAAGACATGAAGTGGCATGGGCGCCTGTAGTAAGTCCTGGCCAACAGAAGAACTAGACCTCATGATGAAGCAGAAGCTGAGGAACAGAAACTCACACCAAATGTCGTCATTGGGTTGGCAGAAGCAGGAGGCAGGAATGTGATAAGATAGGCAGAAGTTGGCAACAGGTGGACAGCACAGGAATAAACCCCATAGTTGAGATATGTTTTTACCACACTCCACAAACCAGTGATATAGCATCAGGGGTCGCAAAGGCAACCCCACCTTATGCTCCAGGGGGGCCCCTGCAGCCTCCCTGTCACATTCTGTTTTACACTTAGACAGGAGGGGCGTTGGGGCTTCTCCTCCTCTCCCTCCTGCCGACATTCAGTGGCTGCAGGAGGAAGATGTTCATTATGCTATTCAAAAAAAAAAAAAAAAAAACACATTTAATTCTGAAGCATTTAATTTCATTGTGGCCCACTACCTGTTACCAAACAACTTAGGTGGCCCTCGTTTTGCAAAAGGTTGAGAACCCCTGATCTAGAGTGTACCAAAAAGATAGAACGATAACACTGCACACTTGTCTAATAGTTCTGCAACACATGATTCTAGGAATCAATGGACCTGCCCAAATCATCACCTCTGAGGAATGAGGGGAGTAGGCATCTCAGACTCATTACTAGGAAGAGTCGCATGATTGGGAACAGAAGGAAGGAATTTCCTCAATAGTCTGCAGATCAGCTGTAGATGAAGGACCTAGATTTTGGTGGTACCTCAGGATACCATCCTCCATAAGGGGTACATGTAGCAGGATCCTAGCTTAATTCACTTGCTGTCTGTACAGGATGACTAGGGTCCATCCTCCAATGGATACGCCCCGCCACAGACTGAAGACTGATGAGGGAACAGCTGAGAAAACAGGCATTTTGAGTGATTTAGCTTGAAAGTTACCAGGGATGACTTGAATACCTAAACACATGAGAGGTACACCAATCTGGGATCCAGCTAAAGAAACAAAAATCCCTCACTTAAAGTGGTGGCACAGCTTCATGCAGAAACCTGTGCAGAGGACTTAAGAGGATCTGTGCCTTCAAGCCCTACAGCTACTACTGGTATAGTAGATACAGGAGAAGGGGGTCACTCCTCTCCTTTCAGGAATGTGCTCCAACCACCAGAGGCATTGATACTGAGAGAGAGTCAAGAACAGGTCCGAAGGACAACTGAGTCCAGTGTTTCTTGGAGATATCATCAGTGTTCCATGCAAATTGGCTAAAGTGCCCTACGCATGTATATGGAGATGAGTTTAATGCAAGAAACAAGCTTAGATGCCTTTATCAGGCTGTCACAGTTGACATGCAAGGCTCCAGACATTTGCTGCAAATTACTTTGCAACGTTTTTTCAATTAAACTAGGGCCTGTCCTACCAATGTCAGGTCCTTTTCAGGGACTTAATTTCGCAAATTAAAATCACTTCCAACCAAGGGTGCAGAGTAAATCCAGCAAAATCTAACTGTTATCTAAGCAGGGAATAAAACTTTCTGTGAAAGCCAAAAGGTGAGCATATCATCAATCTATTTGTTAGTATGCCTGTTATTGTGGATTACTGGAGGGGCCCAGGATGTTACAGGATGTCCCCATAGATGAACAATTTAGACAGTGGGTATAACAGAATGATCTTTTCGGCTTGGGAGCTCTAAAGACCTTAGGATTGAAAAAGCAGGCTTATAATCTTAATGCAGGGCAGTACGTTCCACATTATTTAGGTTAGAAACAACGTCTTGTAAACTTATGGCATCTGCAGATGGCACAAAAACATCTCCTCTAGGGGAAGACTAGGAGGACTCAAAATCTGAAGATGGGTAAAACTAACAGATTTTCCTGCTGTGCTACTCTATTCTGACAGCAGGGACTCTGCTGTCAGAATGCACTGATCAGTGCTGTAGCAGATTGGCTGGAAGAAGGTTTTCCATCAATCCCATTTGACAGAAGTTGATCTAGTGAAGTTGACAGAAGTTGATCTGTCAAACAGGGAGGGCTACACACAGATCAAAATTTGGCCCGTCCTTGGTGAAATCAGCCAAATTTTGAACTGTATGTACCCAGCTTAAATCAAGGAAGGTAAAAACATCCTTGGGCTTTGTTTGAGTTGGAGGCCCAGAAGGGTCAGAGCCTCTGAAAGCAGATTGCCCAAGTATTGGGCACAAACAGACAAAAAAGCCCAAAGTGGACACTAAGCTCCTTGTGAACACAGGGGAGGCCACTGCCTTGCCCAGCAGAGCTGAAGAAGCTCTTGATCTGGACGACCTTATAATAATAGTAGTATGTGGACTAGTTTCTAGATTAAAGGTCTCAGTTCCTTCTGGGGATACCAGATACAGTAAATGCCCCCATACCAGTAGAAAAGTATGGACTGAAGTCACCCCTATGCGTTTTTAAAACATGTTACACCACTACAATGGAGAACAACTAGGCACAAAGTGAGGCTTTATCTAGCAGATGGTGCTAATAAGAGTTACAGACGGCCAAAAGTAAACAAGTCACTGTAGACAGGAAGTGAAATAAGACCAGATAATCCACCTGGAGCTTCTTCTAGGCTGGATGGAGGGAGAAAGACCTTAGAACACAGGGGCTCAACCCTCCACCTTAGTTTTCATCCTTCAAGTCAAGATTGTCAATGTGCTTTTTTGCATTTTGTTTTCTGTATTGTGCAAAAACTCAATAAAATTCTTGTAAAAAAAACAACACATTAAATTCTTTTGTGCCAGTGAAAGTCACCGAATTCAAGATTTTTATACTCTATATATGAATGTATTTTATACATCCTATTTCCCATCCTTATTTACAATAAATTTCAATTACAATACATTTTTGGTCTTATGCTCTTCCCAACCATTTACTAAGCTATTACCTGTTTACTTGTCTCACATCTTCAATTTCATTAACAAGAGGTCTGGAATCCTCATCTTCGCTTCTAAGCTGGGTGATGTGAAAGGCATAATTTAGGAATATTTCTTCTGTCTGTTGACGCACCTGCTCCTCTGTAAGAGAGTAAAAAATGTTTCACATTTTCATATAAAAGTTACAGTATATGAAATTTGTTGTATCTTTGCAAAATCGTTCCACCATCAGAACCACAAGCAACAACATAATTTGTTAATGCACTTGAATTCACAAAAGATAATAATAAGGTATTCTACTTTATATCTTGATTTAAAGGTGGCTTACCCTCTGATTCAAGTACAGCTGCATTATCCGTTGTATCTTCTCTGCCTCCAGTTGCCATGGTTGACAGACAGAGGGGTCAACGTGATCCTACAATAAAATTAAAAGCAATTAATTTACTGCAATACAGTTATCTTTCAGACACCAAATTAAATCCATTAAAGGAAACCTATAAGTTGGATGTATGGGATCAGTTATCGCTTACTTGTTTTTAAAAGGTGTAGGTTTCAAGGCTGTCATCCTGATGCTGGTTTAACTGTCTAGTGCAGGGGTCCTCAAACTGCGGCCCGCCGAGGACATTTATCCGGCCCGCTGGCAGGGGTGTATTTGCCGTGAGGATGGGACACTAAGTACAGGGGCGGACAGGGGGCTGCTGTATCTTACCTGGCTCCATGTCCCGGTCCCACGATGATCCAGTCCAGGAAGCGCTGCTCCTTCATTCACTCCGGCCGCTCCCTCACTCGATGTTTGCGCTGCCGCTCGGCTCTGCCTCCTCACCGGTGATTGGCCGGCAGAACTGTAGCTCAGGAAAGGCACACAGGCGGCCAATCACCTGTGAGGAGGCGGAGCCAAGCGGCCCCGCGAACATCGAGTGAGGGAGAGGCCGGAGTGAAGGACAGCTGACAGGTAAGTGTGCCGTGCAGATGGTGCTGCTGCAACCAGGTATGCTGGCTGCAGCAGCACCATGCTGGAACAGGGGTCAGCAAGTTAAATGTCATTGGTGTCAGTGGGAGGAATAGTGCCCCATCAATGACGTACTATTCCTCCCACTGACACCAATGATGGGGCACTATTCCTCCCACTGACACCAATGTTGGGACACTATCCCCTTCCTCCCACTGACACCAATGATGGGGCACGATTCTTCCCACTGACACCAATGATGGGGCACTATTCCTCCCACTGACACCAATGATGGGGCACGTTTCTTCCCATTGACACCAATGATGGGGCACTATTCCTCCCACTGACACTGACACCATTGATGATGGGGCAACTATTCCTCCCATTGACACTAATGATGGGGCACTATTTCGCTCCATAAGACACACTTGGGGGGAAATGTCTGTGCGTCTTATGGAGCGGCTGGCCCAGTATTCCCGCCGCTGTTGTATGTCTGCAGTCTCTGGTAATCTCCTGTACTATGTCCGCAGTCTCTGGTCATCTCCTGTACGCATTTGTTCATAGTTTTTTTTTTTTTTTTAAACTATAGTCCGGCCCTCCAACGGTCTGAGGGATAGTAAACTAGCCCCCTATTTAAAAAGTTTGAGGACCCCTGTCTAGTGAGTCTTGAACATCAGTCTTCGGACTTCTCAGTCTCTACTGGCTGCATGCATTTTCAGTTTTGTGGCTCACTAGGTAGTGAAACCAGAATTAGTATGACAAACCCAGAATCTGCACCATTGAAACCAGTAAGCAATGTCAGTGTTTATAATAAAGATCTGGACAGTTTGTGTTGATTTATTCGTCTAATCACCAATGGCCTTGAGTGGAAAACAGTGAGGCAAGACTGGAATGATGTTATGATTTTTGTGTATCGATTCCACCATTCTACGATAAAGAACACTTCCTCCAGCAGATCCCTCAGTCTTTACTAAGGGCTCCATATAAATAAACGTTATGGTCTAAAAAAAAAAAAAAAAAAAAAAAACTGCACATTTACAGTGTAAAGCAACATTACATGTGTACATTGAACTGTAATACTGTGATCTTCCTAGGACTATGAAGCAAAGAAAAAAAAAAAAAGCATCTCCTCTAATCATGCAGTTCTCTCTGCAGTATTAAGCATAAAGAACTCTATGGGACAACCTCTACGCCTTTTCCTGCATTTACTATAAAGTATCCAAAATGAAGGCCACAGTGTGCAGTTACAACACATCGTTCAGCAGCGGACAGAGGTAGCTGCTCACTGCTATGAGCAGGACTCAGAGGGGACTTAGAGGGGCAGATCCATATGGGAGAGTGGATACCACTATCCAATCTCTGCTATACTCCACAATGTAAGTCCACCCCTAGGTCTCTATTTTACAGCCTATTCATAACAGAAAGCTGCAGTGTGGAGTTTGCAGTGCCCCACAAAATTCTTGATTTTTAAAGGCAGTAGAGATAACTGTGTTTTGTAGGAGACCGTGGCGTATCATCCAGTGTGCAACTGTGTGGGGGGCACATTAGCCATAAGAGAAGGGAGGCCCAGTGTGCCCTGTCACACAAAGCACACCAATTCCTTGCAGCACTGCGAATTCTCCCCATTTCCAGCACAGATTCCCTGTGGCTGTTGGCTTCTCCTCCTCTCCCCTCCAGCTGGCTTCTGGCGCTGCAGTGGAACCACAGGGAGATTAAATTCTGCAAACTCCCCACTCCCCACAGCTAAGACCCACCCTGGAAAGACCTCTTCTTCACCAATCTCCCGGGCCCCCGCCCTGCAGCACTGCTGGCTGGCTTCCCTTCTTCTCCCCTCCCTCCAGATGATGCTGGGGCAGGAAATCGGTTTCAGGATGGAGAGGTAGGGAGGTATCGATCACTTCTGTGTTCATTCATCACTGAAGCATAGTAAACTGCTTTATGTGAATGAATAGGAGCCCCTGTACAGAGACTTCTACTCATTCGACTCTAGTGCAGTGGAGGCTACAGAGGAAGGGAATGCGAATTCTATAACCTCAGAACCTTCTACTGTTTCAAAAAAGAGGCTTCAGGGGTCTATTTAGACCACTGAAGCTTACAAAGCCCCCCCCCCCCCCAAAAAAAAAAAAATTAATTAAAAGTATTAAAAATGCCATTGTAAAAAAAAAAAAAATACAAAACAAGAAACATAGTATGGCCTTGTTCACATAGGGCATACTACAACATACACCCATACAAGGCCCTGTTTACCCATACAGGGGTGTGTACAGGTGTTCTATACATCCCCATGCATTCAGTCCCATTGATGTTATTTGGGAATTGGCTGCATGGATACAGCCGCTGCTCTGTATTTGACATCCGTGTGGGTGCGTATACATGTCCCTGAACTCACACTGTCTGCATTTTGGGCTGCACACCGCACCCACACGGATGTCATATTGGAAGCAGTGACTTTGTCTGTGCAGCTGCTCTGTCCTCATTGACATAAATGGGACTGAATGCACAGAGATGCATGGAACACCTGTGCCTCCCTGTGCACGTAAACACGGGTGCACGCCTTAGTACTCCCCATCTGAGGGAGGCCTTAGTGGAAATTTAACAGGAATTTTGTCATTTATATTGTGCTTTTGTGTGCGAATAAAGAGTTTTGTGTACTTTTTGTGAAAATGGGGACAAACTGACCTGTGGGTGATTATACTAGGGGAAAGACTGACATGGGGGGGATTATATTAGAGGACAGTTTGACCTTGGGAGTGGGCTTATACTGGGGAACAGACTGACTGGGGGGGGGGTATAATGATATACAGATTGACCTTGGGCTTATTCTGGGGGGAACAGACCGCCCTGTGGGGGGGATTAAACTGGGGGGCACACTAACCTTGGGGTGGGAGGATTGTACTGGAGGACAGGCTGACCCAGGGGGGTTATACTGTGGTACATATTGATCTGGAGAGGGGAAGGTTTATTCTGGGGGACAGAGACATCTACATGGGTTTGTTTTTATTGCCTTCTATTTGCAAGCATTTGCTATTTGCTTTTTGAGTGTGAGTGCTTTATAATTGTTTAAATGTACAGTGCTCTTTTTGTGCCAAATGGCTGTTTTTTAAATTGACCCCTTTATGTTGAATTTCTAATATCTAGTAAAAAATGTACAGTATAGGACTTGAAAACAAAAAATTACAGAAGCACATACAGTCGCATTAAATTGCCACACTGTATACTCATCATCTCCTTTCAAAATAACCAAGTGGAGTTTTTTTTTGTTTAACCACTTCAAGTCTGGACACTTTTACCCCCTTCCTGTCCAGGCCAATTTTCAGCTTTCAGCGCTATCACACTTTGAATAATTGCGCGGTCATGCAACACTGTACCAATATGATATTTTTAGCATTTTTTTGAGACAGATAAATCTTTTAGTGATTTTTATTCACCACTGGGATTTTGATTTTTTTTGCTATATAAATGAAAAAGTCCACAAATGTTGAAAAAAAGTGTTTTTCTTATAAAATTTTGCAAATAAATAATCTCTTTCTTCATAAATCTTGGCCAAAATTTATTCAGTTATCTTTTTTAGTAAAAAAAAAAAAAAAAAAAAAAACACCCAACTTAGTTTATAACCAAAAATATAATTTGAAAAAAAAATTTTTTTTTAACATTTTAATTTTTTTTTTTATATTATTATTTTATGTTTTTTTTTTTTTTTACATACGGTCACCCTAGCAGTACAGTACAGCGGACTCACCTGTCAGGTGAAGCAATCGTTGGCAGCGCTGCCGACGATTGGTTCACACAGTGCCAGCCCCTCCGCGCCACCACGGAGTAAAAGTAAAAAAAAATTGTAAAAAATGAAAGTTACACCGAAACACATACCATCCCCCCCAAAAAAAAAAATATTGAGGCCCCCACATTTACATATGTACAAACGTAAAAGCACATGCTGGGGTGCCTGCGCAAGAAACTGTTGATTGCGATACATGTCATATATCGCCATGCACGCCAGGATGAGAGCAATAATTCTAGCACCAGACCTCCTCCGTAACACTAAACTGGTGACCTATAAGGAGCTTTAAAATTGTCGACCTATAGAAAATATACACAAAATTTAAGGTTTTACAAGTTGGATATCTATTTACTCGCTGAATCTCATTTTTATAATTTTACAAAAAAATTAGGATATTTATTGCTTTTTGTGCCCTAAAATTAACACACTTGTATTTTTTACTAAAATTTTGCGATAAAATCATGCAACATAAAAAATTGGAACTAACACTATTTTATTCTCTAGGGCCTCTGCTTTCAGAAAATATATACTGTTTGGGGGTTTTATGTAATCTTCAGGCCTAAAATTATTTTTTAAAACGTATGCAAAAACGGCTCTGGCAGTGAAAGGGATAAAGTATAAGCCCTGACCCACCCTTTCCTGACGAGCAGCCAATCGTT